TTTGAATCAAAATCATGAAAACTTTGTTTAATTTTAATTGAGGTTTCGTTTTTAGCTGAAAATTTGAGTAGTTTTCTTCTTTTTTGACAGTGGAACAGTAAAAAGATACGAAAGCCTAATTTTGATCTGTTCCTGGAAAACTTTGCTGCTCTTTGTCGGCCGAAAGTCAAATCCGGGTCAACCTCGTGGCATTCGACAATTCTGCCAATGAGCGACTGATGCTTGACCATATCGGTCAACGCAAGAACAAAAGCATTACTCCTCAGTTCACATTTTTCTCAATATTTGATATCAAAGCCGTATATGTTCTGGATTTTTGGATCATTTTGTTCAAGTTTTAGAATTAGGCTAATTATTTGGGTAGGTTTCCCCTTTTTTGACAGTAGAACAATATTATTACGAAAACTTAAATGTGCGCTTTTTCTGATTTTTTTTGCTGTGAATTGGGCCGAAATAGAACCCCGGTTTATCGCGTTGCACTCAAGAAATCTTCCACTGAATCAGCTTTAGTTGAATTCAATTTGTCGCCCTTTGAGAAAAAGTTTATTTCATTTTTTCTGAGATTACAAGTTCAGCTGACTATTTGATTATTTTCCCTTATTTTTGACAGTGGAACAAAACAAATTACGAAACTTTGCTCTCTTCCTGGAAAATGTTGCTGCTCTGCATAGGCCGGGAGTAGGAACCGAGTCTATCTAGTGGCAAGCGAAAGTTCTTGCAATGAACCATCGATGCTGAGAGGAACCTTTTCAAAAAAATTTTGGTCCTCATTTCAAATTTTTCACCAAAATTTCAAATGGAACAGTAAAAAACAGTGGAACAGTAAAACAAATTCAAAAGTCCTAGTTACGCTTTTCCCTGAAAACTTTGCTGATCTGCATTGCCCCGGAATTGAACACGGGTATTGGGAGGCGTTAATTCTACCACTGAACCACCGATGCTGGAAATAACCTGTTCACCGCATGAACAGAAACGTTGCTCTATATTTCAAACATTGACATAAACTTTGAACCAAAACAAACATTTATAAGAAATTTAAATCAAAACCATGAATGACTTCGGCTCAATTTGTTTGACTTCAGAAATAAGTTAATTATTTGTGTAATTATCCTCTTTTTTTTGACATTGAAATAGTAAATAATTACGAAAGTTTAAGTTTGCGCATTTTCCTAGAAAATGTATTTGCTTTTGATCGGCCGAGAGTTGATCCCTGATCCATCGCGTGGCAGGCGACAGTTCTACCACTGAATTCAGATGCTTCACCGTTTGAACAAAAGCATTGATCTTCAGTTCGATTTTTTCTAAGGCTTTCATATCAAAGCCATGAAAGATTTCGACTCATTAATTTTTAGCTTTTGAGTTCAGCTAACGATTTGAGTAGTTTCCCTCTTTTTTGAAAGTTGAACAGTAAAAGTTACAAAAGTTTCAGTTTGCTCATTTCCTGGAAAAACTTGCTGTTCTTCATCGGCAGATAATCGAACCCGGGTCTATCACATGGCCGGCGAAAATTCTACCACTGAGCCACAGATGCCTGAACTAAAGTGTTCACCGCATGAACAATCGCTTTGCTCTTCATTGCAAACATTTATCAAAGTTTTAAATCAAAACCATGAATGACTTTGACTCAATTTGTTTGATTTTTAGAAACAAGTTAAATATTTGAGTAATTTTCCAGTTTTTGACAGTGGAATAGTAAAAAAAAATTACGAAAGTTTCAGGTTGCGCTTTTCCTGAAAATTTCTCTGCATATAATTGGCCGGGAAAAGAAGCCGGGTCTCTCGGGAGGCAGGCAACATTTCTACCACTGAACCCCGATGCTTGCTTTAAACTGGTCACCGTTTGAACAAAAGCATTGATCTTCAGTTCAATTTTTTTGTTAAGCTTTCGTATCAAAGCTATGAAGGATTTCGACTCATTATTTTTCGGTTTTTCCGTTCAGCTAATTGTTTGAGTAGTTTTCCTCTTTTTTTGAAAAGTGAACAGTATAAGTTACAAACGTTTAAACTTGCTCTTTTCCTGGCCAAGTTTACTGCTCTGCATCGGCCGTGAATCCAACCCTGGTCTATCGCATTGCACGCGATAATTATATCACTGAACCACCGACGCTGCAGTTAAATTGGTCATTGTATGAACAAAAACATTGCTTTTCATCTCAAATTTTCATCAAATTTTCGAATCAAAACCATGAAAGTCTCATTTTATTTGAGTACTAACATTCAGCTATTGATTTTAGTAGGTTTTCCGCCTCTTGACAGGGGAACAGTAAAAGAAAACGAAAGCTTAAATTTGCTGTCTTCCTGTAAGTTTAGCTGCTCTGCATCAATCCGGAATCTAACCCTGGTCTATTGCTTGCTCGTTGACAGTTCTACCACTGAACCACCGTACTTGATAGTCAAGTTTCACCAATTGCCTAAAAACTTTGCTCTTCATTTCAAATTTTTCATCAAGTTTCGAATCAAAACATTGAAAGACTTTGACTCATTTTATTTGAGTCCTTGAAATAAGTTAACTATTTGAGTAGTTTACCCTTTTTTAGACAGTGAACAGTAAAGAATTACGAAAGTTTAAGGTTGCGCTTTTCCTGGAAAATTTCTCTGCTGTTAATCGCCCGGGATTCGGACCCGAGTCTATCGCGTGCTACGCGACAATGCTACGCCTCAAACACCGATGCTTGCCTTAGACTTTTCACCGTTTGAAAAGAACCTTTGCTCTTTCTTTCAAATTTTTCAACGAAGCTTCGAATCAAAATCATGAAAACTTTGTTTGATTTTTTTGACTTTCAAACTCAGCTGAATAATTGATTAGTTTCCCTCTTTTTTGACAGTGGAACACCAAAAATACGAAAGTCCATATTTGCGCTTTTCCCTGAAATCTTTGCTGCTCTGCATTGCCCGGGAAAACGAACACAGGTATATCGAGTGAGAGGCGAAAATTCTAACACTCATCCACCGCTGCTTCAACTAACCTGTTCACCACATGAAGAAAAGCGTTGCTCTTCGTTTTAAACTTTGACCTAAATTTCGAATCACAGCCATGAATGACTCATTTTTTTGAATGTTGAAAATCAGCTTATTATATGCGTAGTTTTCCTCTTTTTTGGCAGTAGAACAGTAAGAAGTTACGTACTTTTAAGGTTGCGCTCTTTCCTGGAAAGTTTCTCTGCTTTCGATCGGCCGGGAATCAAACCCGAGTCTACCGCGTGGCAGGCGACAATTCTATCACTAAACCACCGCTGCTTGAGTTTTGATCAAACGCATTGTCATCGTAACAAAGCATTGCTCTTCAGTTCAAATTTTTCTTTAGCTTTCATATCAAAGCCATGAAGGACTTCGACTGCTTTTATTTGAGTTTAACAATTAAACTATTTATATGAGTAGGTTTCACTCTTTTTGAGAATGGAGCAGTAAAAAATGAACTCAGCGATTTCAATTTGTTCAAAGGTGGTATTTTTTGGTTCAAAAAAAATATTCAACAAAATTTTTCAACGATTTAGCAAGTACTTTTATCTGCAAGTTTTTGTGAGAAAATCCGTTCAAATTTGGTGCCCAGTGCTAAATAGAGTATTGATCTGACTTTTTAACACGCTTTGCTTCTTCTCATGCCTCCGATTTTTCTCATCTTTTCTTTGATTCTTTTCCTTTCTGCAGTTTCGTACAATGGCATCTGTTTTTTGTCTGGCCTACCTTGCTTTCCTCATTTGCTCATTTTCTGAATCTTGTGGTCTTTTACTCTTTTTATGCCAGTTTTCGCTAGGAAATATTTATCTCCACCACCAATGGTTCTTTCGAACTGCCGATATTTAGATTTTTCTTTGAAATATTTTTAATGAAACTGATCAGATGAATCAGATGACTGCGCCATAATAAAGTTTGATAATACCACTAGTATGTTAAAACCACTAATTAAGGTTAAAGCTTCAAAGAAAAATAATTTCTTCTTTTCTCTGCTTCTTTTTTTTTCATTTAGAAAATTGCCAAAAAGTTCAACACTAACAGAAATCTAATGAAATATGAAAATCAAAATTAAAAACAACTGAAGTTCAAACTCACGACAGTGTAGCATCTGAAATTACCGTGATGCATATCTCGACAAAAATGCAGATTACTAGCGCCAAACTAATCCAAGTTCGAGAGCCGTGTGAGCAATGTTTGAAAAATGTGTCACAACTTTTTCTAAATTCGGAATAATTAATGATCACGTTACTATTGTTAAAATCGTTACTTAGATTTTCTATTTTGCTCATTAGCAAAGAAGAGAGATTGGTCATTTTCCTAGAGTCAATTTTTTCACTTTCTTTAAATCTCGCTCATCTGACTGTTCAAGCTTCATGCTATCCTGTAACATCAGCGTCCTCTGAAATGTTTGTGAAAAATGAAAAATTTGCTTCTTTTTTAAACAAAAAACAGCTTGTGGTGCTATGAAATTAAAAGCTCATGATAAAAATTCTATCGTTTCAAAAAGTTCTATGCCATTTTTAGTTTTTTTTGTAATTTTCCCATCAGTTTTTCCCTGTTCTTAGTATACATTTGTGTTCTTTCCCGCACCGAGCGCCCATGGATTCTAATCGATTATAATGGATTCCCGAGACAAAAATAATCGATTATAATCCATTACGGATGTAAAATTCAGACCACGAAATCGATTATATAGCCATTATAATCGGTTATTTTTGAACAAATATAATCCATTATAATCCATTATAATCGATTATAATCTATTATTTTTGTCATTTTGTAGATGCTGACCATATTATGACAATATAATCGATTATGATCCATGGGCGCTCGGTGCGGGTTTGTATGCATTTGAGTGTTTTTTTGTGTGTTTTGTAGCAAACCAAGAGATATATGCGCATTTGCGCAATTAAAAATTCTCATTTAAGAAAAAAAAATTGCAACCTCGCTGAACGTAGTGGAATGCAGTCAGGTTCCTTAAAGTTCATGTCATTTTTTTGATTACTGCTCTATGAAAGATGACACAAGTTCTGCTTTGGTTGATAGGATCTTCGACAAGGATGGCGATGGCACAATCTCCACCGCTGAGTTGGGGACAGTGATGAGGAATCTGGGCCAGACTCCGACAGAGGAGGAACTTCATGACATGATCAACGAAGTGGACAAGGACGGTGAGCATGTGTCTTATCTAGCAATTTTCTTCCGTATTGGGACAACGAATTGGGACAAAACTCTGTTTTCGGGTGTTTTTTAAAAAAATTTTTCATACTCGCAAGCTCAGATACTTCAAAACAAAGTCTAATGAGTCGAGTTAAAAATAATTGAAAAATATTATTATAATGACCTGATTGATGTTTAACCGAATCGAACTGAATCTGAAAAAAAAATCTGGGCGCACCACTTAATTCGATATGAGTAATATCAAAAATGTTTTTTAAAATTTTTGAAAAGGTTGCATGACACTTTTCTGGAAACAACGGATTGAAGATATAGCAAAACTGGCTGTAGTTACCAAATTGATAAAAGTCTGTAACAGCTGGTTAATACTTTTAAATCATATTTTGAAAAAAAAACGCGCTAATGATTACAGTTAAAAAACAGTATCGGAAATGCAGCGTTGAAAGTGGCTTGATTGAATATGGCTTAATATCGTGACCAAAGGTCGCAACTTTTGTGAAATTGTAATTCTAGTGATAGCTTCAAATTAGCGTTGTAGCGGATTTTGAGTTGTTTTTCAAAAACCTTCGGATAACTTCCATATTTGCTTACCAAACAATCCAATCTGTTATCAAGTAACTCGCCAGTTTGCAACTTTTTGTTTTAATTTGTCCAAAACATCAATAAAACTATTTTGAAATAAAAAAGTATCACTTTTTATTATTGTTCCGACCATTGAAAATGAGGAGAAACTTTGTATTTGGGTGTTTTTTTCTCCTTTTTTTGGTTTCATTACGAGGCTAAGCTTCGTTTTGTCAATTTTAAGCGAATTCCGCAAATTGTAAGCTGCATCTGCATAAATTTACTGAATCCACTTACATATGAGGAATCCGGAACAACTACCTGTATTCACTCTTTGCGGAATTTGCAACAAATCTACTGTGCCGACAAAATATGCCGACAACATTTACTTCACAAAAGTTTGTAAATGGAATCCACTAGCATGTTGGAACAAGTTTAAAGACTTGTCTCTGGAATCCAAAAACATGTAGACACCAAACTGTGCTCTCATTCATCGGAATAGATCAAGGGATATACCAAATTGAAGTCTTTTCTGTCGTGATTCGAACGATATTAAAAAATTCACCAAACAGTTTTTCAGTAATGAGGAAAACGGACTCAACGTTTTTAGTTTCAGGGTCACAATAGCTTATTTAAACTTTGTTTTAAGACAATTTAGTTTTTCATGTATAAAGTTAGTTTTTGGAGTTGTTTGGCGCCATTTTGATAATCAAAAACTTTAAAAAAAAAATAAAACAATCAGCAACAAAATTTGAAACAATTTGAAAACTAAGACATTCGAATTTGCCTAATTTCTAGTTCCATGTCAGACCGCGCAGAAAAAACTACACTTATTTGGAAAAAAATACCCTGTTATCCTTGTTTTATTAGGATTCATTTTAATAGTTATCTGAATTTTTCAAATAAACTACAATCAAAGAACTATCTTTATTAACCGAGAAAATCGGCTTCGTGTTTTCAGGTAACGGAGAGATAGACTTTGAGGAGTTTCTGGAGATGATGGCAGGCAAGATGCATGCACCGACTATTGATGATGAGATCCAGGAAGCGTTCAAGATATTTGACAGACAGTCCAAAGGATACATCACCAAAAATGACATCAGGTCAGTCCACAGTTGGCTTTGATTGTGCATTTTAAGGCTTCCGAGGATCCGAACTCATTATGCACGTGGGTGAGGCAACATAACCCAGCCATGGGAAAAAAAGGACTTAACGCATGTTGGTCCTTTCCTCGTCATTGTATCATCTCAACTTAATATCTAATATGAGTTTATTTTAGCATAATATATCAAAAATTATATCTAAAACATTGGACAGAATTGAAAACAAGGGTCTCATATCATTATATATAATCAATGATCAACTTTTTGTAGAATTCAAAAAGCCTAAAGGCCATATATATTTTTTTGAATTTCGAAAAGTAAAATTTTTCTTTTAATAGGGCAGTAAAATGTATATTTGGATTTTAAGGCAAGTTAACAGGATCTCTTTCTGCATTTTCAGAATCAAAATTAACTCCGTAACTTTTTTGGCTCATTTTGTGTTAATTGCTCATGGGTGCGCAATTTACACAATATTCAGAATGTCACACTTCAAAAAAACTGAAAATTGCTACGAATCTAAGTTAAAATGTAGTAAGCAAAAACACAATGAAAAATCTCTCCATACAATTAAGTTCATGATAAAATGAAGTCCATGGTAAAGAAAAAGTGACGAACAAAATTTCACCTTTTAGTGGTCAGGTGCCTTACTGATTGCGCCACTGAGCCTGTAGCTTTTCCGAAAAGTTTTCCAACGTTTTGTTTCAGACTCAAGGCACTTCATTTTGACTTGTCTAGCTAAAAAACAACAGTTACTACGGATCATTGATCAAATGTTTTCAGCCAAAACACAAGGAAAAATCCCTCAGTACAAATAGAAAACTCTTAAACCAACTTTATGCTAGAGAATTAAGAGACAATTATATTTGCTCAATTCGATACTTGCAGTAATCTAACATGCAATCTCCTGATTTGCAGACAGAGGTCTTATCCATTGGGCAACAGGACCTGCAGAGTCTTCGTAAAGTTCTCTATTGGTTTAATTCGCGCTTAATTTTGCCTTTTCTAGCGAAAAAGCGAAAAAGTGTTTCCAATCTACATTAATGTGTATTCAACAAAAACAAAATGAAAAACCTCTCCGTACAATTGAGTTCATGTTAAAATGAAGTTCATGATTTAAAAAGATGTGACAAAGAAAATTTCACTTTTTTGTTGTCAAATGCCTTATTGATTGCGCCACTGAACCTGAAGCTTTTCCAAACAGTTCTCTAACGGGTTCTCAGGCTCATGGTGCTTCTTTTAGCCTTGTATACCTAAAAAAAACTCAGTGGTACTACAAATTTTTGCTAAGATGTCTTAAGCCAAAACACAAGGAAAAATCCTTCAGCACCAAAATAAAATTCTTAAACCGCCTTTATGGTGAAAAGTGACAAATAGTTTCAATCCTTTCGATCTTTTCAGGAACTAAACCTGCAGCCTCCAGATTTGAAGTCTGATGGCTTATCCATTAGGCAACAGGGCCTGCAGATGCTACGTAAAGTTTTCTTTCGTTTTAATTTCGAGCTAAAGGTGCTTTTTTTTCCTTTTCCAGCTAAAAATTCTCAGTAGTGGTACTACAAAATTTTTTTAAAAATATTTGAGCCAAAAAACACAAAGAAAAATCTCTTAGTAAAAAAATGTTATGCGGTTTTTAGAGTGAAAATTTCTCAGCAAAAACCTCTCAGTACAAAAAATGTTAGGCGGCTTTTAGAGTAGTTTTGTCCGTTTCGATCCTGGCAGGACTCGAACCTGCAATCCCCTGATTCGTAGTCAGATGCCTTATCCATTGGGCCACAGGACCTGAAGAGTCATGCGAAAGTTCTCTAATGTACTGGTTAAGGCTCAAGGCGCTTCATTTTGTAATGATAGCTGCAAAGCTCAAAAGAATTACGAACCTATGTCAAAATGTTTAAAGACAGAACATAATGGAAAATCTTTCAATACAATTTAAAAATCCTCAGCCGCCTTGAATTTTAAAAATATGGCAAATAAATTTCATACAGGCAACGTATTCGTTCAAGCTAATGGCGCTTCATTTTGCATAGTCTAGCTAAGAAGCTCAAAAGAAGTACGAATATAGGTTAACTGACTTGCATGAAGATGAAACACAATGAAAAATCTCGCTGAACAATCAACAAATTCTTGAACACGTTTTACTCTAAAAAACACGATAATTGAATTTTCAATCAGTCGCTCCTCGCAGAATTCGAACCCGCATTTCCATGGTTTGGAGACAGCTGCCTAGGACATTGCATCACGAAATTTGAAATTTGTTCTGAAAACTCTCTAACCCATGAATTCAGGATCAAGGCCTTTTTATGCCTTGTCTCGCTAAAAAGCTCAAAAGTATTCTGAACTTATGTTAAATTCTTGAAACTAAAACACATTGAAAAATGTCTCAGTACAATTAAAGTTTCTTAAACCGCCTCTTCTGTAAAAACGTGAAAATTACTTTATTATTTCCGACCCTGGCAGGACTCGAACCTGCAATCCCCTGATTCGTAGTCAGATGCCTTATCCATTGGGCCACAGGACCTGAACTGCGTTCCAAGAAATCTCTACATGATTGTTTCAGGCTCAAAGTGCATCATTTTACATTGTCAAAATGGTTATAGATTAAAATGCACCCCGAGGCTTTGATGCTTTTTCGTAGGAAAACATTTGAGCTATCAATGAAAATTTGGAGGCCGATTTGAGAACAAAATTATGTCTCGGCCAAGCCGGATCAACTGAAATCAGCGCGCGCCTGGAATATTTTTCTTTTGAATAAGACCACCGACTCTCAATTCTAAAAACGCTTACTGAACTTTGCCCTCACTGCATTTCTTACACAGGGTGTTTAACGATACTGATTAAAACTATATAATCAAACTGGAATTTTTGAAACGCTTTATTTTCCTTGAGTTTGAAAAGCTTTAATTTATTTGAGGAGAAAAATTACTTTGATTTTCGCCAGAAATTTTTAGCGCAGATGACAACTTCAACCTTTTTATCGTAAAGGCAATTAAACAAAACTTAGTGAAATTTTCAACAGAATACTTTTCTAATACTTTGCTTAAACTAAATGAGACAAATTCTGATGCAGTGCTAACTCATTCTTCGGAAATAAAATGTATCAAACATTATATTTTCAGTATTTTTCTAAAGTTGAGATGATTTTACACAAAAAAAAGATGAAGGCGAAACTTTTTCAAGTATCTAGAAAAATGCTACTATTGGTTTACCTGCTGATAGAACTTTATCGAATTGGTTAATTCTTCTCATCTGATATACCTCAACTAATTTGCAATTCACAGTCAGAACATATCTTGTTTTTAAAGACGTTTTATAATTTTTGCGCAGGTTTTTGGAGGTTATATCCATCTTCAACTTGTTTGGTTTCATAAACAGTTCACTTTGATAAAAGTTTTTGCAGTATTTTAAGAGATGTTTATGGATTATTTATTTGATTGACTACAAAAGCCAAGACAAAAAGGGTCCCAATTTTGG